AAATCTGATGAACAGAATAAACTGGTGAACAGAATAGGATCAGAGGCATAGAAAGGGAGTGGACTGACAATTCTCGGGGGGAAAGGGAGTGTGGGGTGTGCGGGAAGAGACTGGACAAAAATCGTACACCTATGGACAAGAACAGTGCGGGGGAGGGGTAAGAGCAGGGGGTGGGTTAGAAACCGGGTGGAGGGGAGCTATGGAAGGAAAAGAAGAACAACTGTAATAATCTGAACAATAAAGATTTATTAACAGAAAAAAAATTGGCATTGTGTTTCTAATATAATGACTCACTACAAAATATTAAGGTCATAGGAAGAATATGTATGTAGAAAAACAAACTTTTAAACTGAGAATGTATTTCTAACAACCATTAAAAATAACCTAAAAATATAATATAACAAGATCTTTTTGTAGAACAAGTCCATAAACTACTTCAACTTTAAAACTTTTATTTGGACTATTCAAAATTTGAAAAATATAAGGTAGACTTTGTATATATGACCATACCTCTCCTAGAGCTTCGTATCTTTTCTGATTCCATCTGTGCAAGTCTTCTCGGTAGTTAAAAACAAATGGTTCCCCAGTTTTTATGTGTCTTAACTGTCCCTCTAGAAGATAAACAAACAATATTGCTATGATTCAGAGTACATGTATAATAATATCGAAAGTACAACTAATGTCGATTAAAAATTTAAAAGAACTTTCTCAGAACTGTTTCATTTTTTTCATTAGATTTTCTCTTTAAATATCAGTATGATACAAACATATAAATACACTAAAAGAATGACTCCAAGCACTCAAATGCTATGATTTTTTATCTTCATTTTCTAATCTAAAGTAAAGTAACAGTATTTGAGTGCCCACAATATATAAAATACCAGTTCTTAAGCTTACAGGCTACCTGAAGAGTAAAAGCATAGGTATGAAAAAGAAGTTAAACAAGAAGGAAGTTAAGTTAATAATCTAAAAACTGCCACAGGCAATTTATGTAGTCAAGTCTAAGATGAGTTTGGATTCATTTGAAGGATTGCTATAGGCTAGAATATGTTCAGAAGGTTTTGGTGACATTTCTCAACTAGGCTTTGAAATATGGGATAAATTTCAAAACAAAATGGAGAGAGGAAGTGAGTGAGCCAATACTGGCTTGGACCGTCAAGGCAGACTTACTCAATTGAGAGCTTTTACTGATAATCAGTAACTTTACTAATGATTTCAAGGGTATAAGTGATCAAGAGGAGCAGACAAAACAGGGAGAGAGGTCTCAAAGAGCCTGGGAACTTCTTCCCAGGCCCTTTCCTCTCAGTGGACAGCACTCTCTGGTCCAGAACAGGTGAAGTCTCTATGTGGGTCATACAGCTTACCTTACACATTGGTGAGCATTTAGTTACATAAATACGTCCATTTTATGTGCCAGAGAGTGGTACTGCTATATAATATTCTTCAAAGAAGCACACCTCACAGATCCATAGATTAAAGGTTTGTTTACCATAAGCAATACCAAATGAGTTATCCTGCTGAGTTTATTCCATGGAGAAGGACTCTATTCATAGCAAACCCTAGTCTGTATTCACTAAAAGATTAAATTACCAGCATGTTGCAAGGAGAAAAGAGCAGGCCACCTGTCTTCTTTATTTCCCTAATATTCCCCTGGAAATCAGAAGAGAAATAGACCACAGGCCAATTGCTTTAACTCCCCCTGGTTCCCAGCAACATAAACAAAATTATGAAAAATGGACAGCAAATTCAAATAACAGGAAACAACTCAGTTTAATAGAAACAAAAGGAATATTGAGGCAAATACTATGATTTCACACTAATAACACATGTTGGGATCAAATAGTAGAAGGCCCAAATTACTGGGCTTGGACTTTGTCCTAAGAGTAATGAGATACAAGAAGAGGTTTAGAGGCAGAAGAGGAACATGACCAAGATGAGTGGAGTTAGTATATGATTTTTATCCAATGAGGGCATGCAGGAGTGGAGAAAGTCTTGGAAGTTATGGCACTAAAACTGAACCCAGGAAATATACTACTCCAAGTAAAAATACTTCACTATTTTTATGTATCAATTTTACGTCACATAAAATGGATATTTTTAATATATAAAATAAAGGCTAATCCTTTATCATAAAGTTCTTTTTAGTACTCTTGACATGAGACACTACACTGAATCACTATCATATTCTTTATGTCATATGATGTCGTGAAAATAGATGTATCTATGGTTTGCTTTCTAGGAAAGGGAAATTCCCATATAAAATATCAATACAAGTAGATCGATGACACCTACAAGTTTAACAATTGTGATTTTGACTAAAGCAGCCTTAAAGGTACATGACATAGTTATGTGTAACAGAAATCTGAAGTGTATTTTCTGAGAGACGACTGTGTGAAAGAGAACTGACTTACCTAGCTGGTAAGTCAATTTAACAGACCACTTTCATCAACATCTCAAAGAGAAGTTTTTTTTGTTTTGTTTATTAATTCTCTACTCATTTTGGACATAATACTTCTCATAATGTAATAAAGATCTTGGTTCTTTAGGAAAAAATAAGCCCCAACAAAGAGCTAACTGTTAGCATTAGTGTTAAAAGTGAAAAGAAGATAAAGATGGGGGTGGGGGGGAAAGTGAGTATTCTTATCCAGAAAAGCAATCTGTATCACTTTTGTTATAGTGGTATCTGCAAATTTGGCATTTCTCAAAGGTTTAGAAAATATCTCCATTAATTGTCAAAGGTCCGATTTAGGACACTGGAGCTCAGGGTCCTCTAAAATCAGCTGTAAAGTTTCATATGTATACACAAAAGTGCATTATTCTAAGAAATGCATACATATTGTCTATCAGATTAATGGTAATCTAGGAACTAAAATAAGGTATCACTGGTCCAAATAAATCAAACAATTGAAAATATATAGGATACTTTCTGTATTAAGAGTTTAATAAATATCCTATACTAGAGGCCCGGTGCACAAAATCTGTGCACAGGGGTGGAGGGTGTGTCCCTCAGCCCAGCCTGCACCCTCTTCAATCTGGGAGTCGGACATCCCTCTCACAATCCAGGACTGCTGGCTCCCAACTGCTCGCCTGCCTGCCTGCATGATTGCCCCTAACCACTCCCCTGCCAGCATGATCGATGCCTAAATACTCCTCTTCTGGCCCAAATGCCCCTAACTGCCCTCCCCTGCTGGCCCAATCACCCCTAACTGTCCCCCCTTGCCAGCCTGCTCACCCCTAACTGCCTTCCCCTGCTGGCCCGGTCACCCCCAACTGCCCTCGCCTGCTGGCCCGGTCACCCCCAACTGCCTTCCCCTGCTGGACTGGTCATCCCTAACTGCCCTCCCCTCCA